CTTGACAATTTATAAATTATTATTTTGTCATATCTTACACTGTCCGACATCTCCCTTCACCCCCTTTTCTGTTGTCCATCCCCCAGGGAGGAGGATATATGTAGATCCCTGTAATCGGTTCCCCCTTTCCACCCCACTCTCCCTCCAACCTCCTGGTATCACCACTCTCACCACTGGTCCTAAAGGGATCATTCGTCCTGGATCCCCTGTGTTTCCAGTTCCTATCTGTACCAGTGTACATCCTCTGGTCTAGCCAGATTTTTAAGGTAGAATTGGGATCATAATAGTGGGGCGAGGAGGAAGCATTTAAGAACTAGAGGAAAGTTGTATGTTTCATTGTTGCTACATTGCACCCTGATTGGCTCTTCTTCTCCCCGATACCCTTCTGTAAGGGGATGTCCAGTTGCCTACAGATAGGCAATGGGTCCCCACTCTGCACTCCCCCTTATTCACATTGATATGATTTTTTGTTCTCATGATACCTGATCCCTTTGACACCTCATGATCGCACAGGCTGGTGTGCTTCTTCCATGTGGGCTATGTTGCTTCTGAGCTAGATGGCCGCTTCTTTACCTTCAAGCCTTTAAGACCCCAGACACTATATCTTTTAATAGCCGAGCACCATCAGCTTTCTTCACCACATTTGCTTATGCACCCATTTGTCTTCAGTGATCGTATTGGAGAATTGAGCACACAATGATATGATTTTTTAATCTGTGATGCCTGATAACTAATCTCTTCAGCACCTCGTGATCACACAGGCTGGTGTGCTTCTTCCATGTGTGCTTTGTTGTTTCTCAGCTAGATGGCCGCTTGTTCATTTTTCAAGCCTTTAAGACCCCAAACACTATATCTTTTGATAGCTTGACTCCGTCAGCTTTCTTCACCACATTTGCTTATGTACCCGCTTTGTCTTCAGTGATTATGTCGGGCAGGTGAGCATCATCGAAAGCCAGTTTGATAGAACAAAGTCAATTCTGACTCTTGGTGACCCTTTATAGCATAGGTTCTCAAACTTATTTGGCCGAATGACCACACCCTTTTCAGGAAAAACTAACTCATTGCCCCCCATAATTAAAGGCTTTTGCATTATAGTTCATGATCCAAGATAAAGTATAGGTATCTGCTTTGGCAAAACCCCCACCAGGCATTGTTCTAGCACCCCAAGGGGGCAAGTTGTCCACTTTGGAAAACACTGCTTTTTTTGGTTTTTCAGGCCTTGTAAATCTTTGTAGAAGCAGACAAGCCTCGTCTTTCTCCCACAGTTAGTAGTCCAGTGCAGACAATACCACCAGGGCTCCTGTATCTTAGTATACTTTAAAAGGGAATTGACTAAATAAAAGAACTATAGAAGCTAATACTTGAACATAAAACTGAACTCATAAAAATATATATTTCAAAAAATATATATATATATATATTTCACATTTATCTTAAAACTATAATGCATTAATCCTAAGCTTTTCACTCTTTACTCCATATCAGAGGAGATGAGGTATTAGAAAAAGAAATTAAGTGATTCTGTGAAACTTTTAAGTTTTGTGTTTAAAAATTCTGCATAGTAGAAATATACAGATGTCTTTTGTTGTAGTTTGACTGGATATTTTTTAATTTTTTTTTTTCTTTTAGGAATCACAGTACATTGATAACAAGTGTAGTCCCGGGGGATTATGATGGAGATTCACAAATGGATGTCCTTATAACATATCTTCCTAAAAATCATGCCAACAGTGATTTGGGAGCTGTTATCTTCTGGGGACAAAATCAAACATTAGGTAAATTTGTTTTAAGAATTTTTAGTTTTTACCATAGGTCATCAAAATAAAAATAAGCTTGCTATTGTTTAGTAAATAAACCCCCAAAAATGTTCTGGAATTAGTTCAAAAGTACTTCTTAAGTATCAATGATTATGCTAAACATTTTTTAATGTTTTTTTGCTTTTTCAACCCAGAACCATTATGGGGACTGTTATAGAGATGAAATTCCCTCTACGGAGATTAAGGGAATAAGAGTTATTAAAGATTTTTATGGTTCACAGAATTATTAGGACAAATTCTAGGTTGTGTTCTCCCCAAAGCCATCAAAGAAACTATTAATGACTACTTTTATCTTTAAATAGTAGCCACTTAACACAACAATTGCAAGAATGACAGTGTACCTGCTATTCTCACTCATGGCAAAGTGGGTACCCTACACTGTGTCTCTTGATACTCACAGGTGATTCATCAGACACTAACAAGTAGTGGAAGCACAGACTTCTTACATACACATTCCGAAACTCACAGTGAATCTGATTGGCAGAATTTAAATTTTATTCAGAATCTCAGGGAAATGATATTTTTGGCTTCTAATATCCCCAATACAAGAATGTCCAGAAATGGCTAGAGTGGAGATTGAGTCAATCTACGAGAACCACCTCCAAACCTTATCACAAGTCTTATCAAAAGGGCCAAATAATTATACCTAAATAGACAACTTTATTCATGGAGCTATAATTTAAGGAAATAAAATACAGTTGCACTTTTTTCTAATATTGGGAATGTAAGTAGTAATATTAAACTCATGTTCTTTCAGTAAATAAATGTTTTCAAAAGATGGCCACGTGCACAGCATCACTTGTATATAAGTTTGGACATTTCAGTCAGGTAGTTTTGCATACAGCAAAATGTTAATTGTCAGTTGGTCCTGTGTAAATTGTATTTAAAGAAAGCTCCTCTAAGGGATTTTTCAAACTGAAATCCCAAGAGGAAGCTGTTATAATGTTTGATTTTCTTTATAGAATGAATTCTCCCAAAATATTTTATCAGTTACAAATTTGATATCCAGTCAAGTTAAATTTAAGATATCTTACTAGTGATGATAGCTGGAATAAAGTAGGTATAAATCTTGAAGAGCATAAAAGAATAGTTTCCTCTGAGAACAGATATCAAAAATAATATAAAATGCCTTGCCTAATTTATATTTTTTCTTTCTTTTCAGATCCTAACAATATGACCATACTAAATAGGACCTTTAAAGATGAACCACTAATTATGGAGTAAGTATAGACTTTCCTTTATATGATTTTAAATTTACAAATATAAACTAAAATCTTTGCATAGGAAATTACTTTTCAAATTAATACTGACATAATTTACTATCCCTGGATGGCTACAATAATAGGCTGAAAGACTGTGAGACTGGGCAGTGTTTCATTCTGTTGTACTACAAATCAGAACAGACTCAATGGCAACTAACAACAACAAAACCCGATAGAGGCCTAATATCTTGGCTATATAGTGTTTATATCCCATGACATAGGGGGGGAAAACCAAAATTCAATATTTTGGAATAAGCAGGAGGTGTGTAGTTTTAGTTGTATTTCCATACCTTTGAATAAGCTCATTATGGCTTTATTGTGAATCTGCCATTGCCATTGCTCAGAACATTGAGATAACTACCGTTAGCAAAAATATTAATATTTGATTAAGAGATGAAAAATAGATTATTCTAGAAATTTAGGAAGATTTTTATATCGTTGGTCTTCTTTACAATACCTTTTTTTGGTTCTATTTCCTTCATATTGACCCATGTACCATGATCACTTTAATCCAAATTTCTGACAGGATTGTTTTATAATGAAGGAGAGGTAGAACTCCCTTTCATTTGTTTTTATTTGTTTGTGAGATTAACTGTTAGTCATTAAAGACTCCACGTACATTTCAGTTTGGATTTTCCTTCTTTTTTTTTTTTCAACTTTATTGCCACTCAAATCACTATTGAGGTTTGAAGGATAAGGATTCAGGAGGGATTTTATTTTGTTCTTTAATTTTAAAGAAACACACTCTACAGCTGATCTCAAGAAATGAAATCAACAGCAGTATCCTGTTAAATACTGGCTTTTCTTTTTTTTTATTAGCCATTTTATAAGAGGACTTAGAGATCTTATAACAATCCATAATTCAGTTGTATTGAGCACACTTGTACATATGCTGCCATCATCATTTCCAAAACATCTTCTTACTACTTGAGCCCTTGGTATCAGCTATCAGCTCCTCTTTTATTCCCTCCCTCCCCGACCCACCCTCATGAATCCTTGATCAATTATATATTATTATTGTTATTTCATATCTTACAGCATCTGTTGTCTCCCTTCACGTACATTTCTATTATTGCTCCCCCTGGGTGGGGGTTATATATTCATCCCCCTGTGTTGGATTAATTTCTCCTTTCTCCCCCCACCCCCCCTGTCATTGTATTGCTACTCCCACTACTGTTCCTGAGGGGTTTATCTGTCCTGGATTCTATATATCCAGAGCTCATATCTATACCAATGTGCATACTCCATTCTAGCAAAATTTGTAAGGTAGAAATGGGTCGTGATAGTGCAGGGGAGGAAGCATTCAGGAACTAAAGGAATGTTGTGTGTTTTGTCAGTGCTATACTGCCCCCTGGTTGAATCGTACCTTCCTTGTGACTCTTCTGTGAGGGGATGTCCAGTTTTCTACAGATGGGCTTTGGGTCTCCACTCTGACCACTCTCATTTGCATCGATATAATTGTTTGGGATCTTTTGATACCTGATACCTGATCCCGCTACACCTCATGATCACATAGGCTGGTATACTACTTCCAAGTCAGTTTTGTTGCTTCCCTGCTAGATGGCCACTTATTTAACTTCAAGTCTTTAAGACCCCAGATACTAAATCTTTTGATAGCTGGGCACTATTTGCTTTCTTCACCATGTTTGCTTATGTACCCATTTTGCCTTCAGTGATCGTGTAGGGAAGGTGATTATCAAAGAGTGATAGGTTATTGGAACAAAGTGTTCTTGTGCTTAGGGAGGCCTTGATTAGAGGCCCAAAGTCCATTTGCTATCTAAATACTTAACATATAAATATATGTACATTGATCTATATCCCTATCATTATAAAGTAACATATTTACATATATACATGCCTATACCCATACCTCTTTAAGTAGCTTGTGCCTCCTATTTTTTTTTCACTAGTTCCTTTCACCTTCCTTCTGTCCCACTATCATGCTCGACCTCCAATCTGCATTCAGCAATTCTTCTCAGATACATTGCGCTTGATCAAATCCTGCCGGGCATTCTACACCCTCCTCGCCATCAATTTTAGATCTCTTGTTTTTCCCTTGTCTCTGAGTTTGTTAGCTCCCCACACCCTACTATTCAAGATGCCCCCTGGAATCGCTGGTCCCGTTGTTTTCTCCTTGGGATTGTTTATCCTGGCTATCTTTTTTTTTTTTAATAGTTAAAAATTTTTTTAATCATTTTATTAGGGGCTCATACAATCTTATCACAATCCATACATATATCAATTGTGTAAAGCACATTTGTACAATCATTGCCCTCATCATTCTCAAAACATTTGCTCTCCACTTAAGTCCCTGGCATCAGCTCCTCATTTTCCCCCCTCCCTCGGCACTCCCTCCTCCCTCATAAACCATTGATAATTTATAAATTATTATTTTGGTCATATCTTGCCCTGTCTGATATTTCCCTTCATCCACTTTTCTGTTGTCCATCCCTCAAGGAGTAGGTCACATGTAGATCCTTGTAATCAGTTCCCCATTTCCAACCCACTCTCCCTCTACGCTCCCAGTATCGCCATTCACACCACTGGCCCTGATGGGATCATCCTCCCTGGATTCTCTGTGTTTCCAGTTCCTATCTGTACCACTGTACATCCTCTGGTCTTATCCTGGCTATCTTATATACCATATATACTCGAGTGTAAGCTGACCCGAATATCATCTGAGGCACCTAATTTTACTATAAAAACTGCATTAAAAATGTGCTGAAAAACTTGTCTTATGCACGAGTGTATATGGTCAATACACGTAGAAAGAAAAGAAAAACAAACAAACAAAAAATCCTATAAATAGTTCCAGGTCTGTCTGCTGACCCTGATGAATGTTTTCCAATTAGGTCTGTTGAGGTGTCAAGCTCTGTCCCCAAGTCAGAAGTCTATTTTCAGGATTCCATGGGGTCTTATTACTTTGCTACCCTTGCTGCCCTGTTGCACTCTCTTCATGTTTTGCGCCACTGTGTGTAGAGCAGACCAGGCTCACTTTCCCCATAGTGTCTCCAGTGCTGTCCCCTGTAGAGTTGTGGATCAGTGAGGGGACACTGCGTCTCATGGTGGGGCCGGCCCTACAGTCCTCTCTCTGCATTGGCTGCTCCAAGCAAGGATTTCGTTTTCTCTCTTTCCCTCTTAGTTTGAGCCCGTGTGGTCTGGACAGACCCACCACTCTCCACAAGCTATACCTTCAGTGCCGTCCTCTGTAATACTGTCTTTCTTACAGTTATTAAATTTGTAGTCAAAAATAAGTAGGCCAATGACCATTTATAAAAATGGCTTAGGGGCAGAGGAATGATTGCTGATGTTCTGTTACACAAATGACAATTATGTCTCTAAGGTGAACCAGAGACATATATAGAACATGATGCATGAATGAATTTTAGACTTGCACTTAATTCTAGTCCCAATTGAAAAACAATTCATTGTTATGACATTGCCTTTCCTTTCTTTTCTTTTCTTTTTTTTTTTTAATACTTTCATTAGGGGCTCATATCTCTTATCACATTTCATACATTTATCCAGTATGTCAAGGACTTTTGCACATATGCCACCATCATCATTTTCAAAACATTCTCTTCCCACTTGAGCCCCTGATATCACCTCCTCATTTCTTACCCCTCCCTCCTGAACCCTTGATAAGTTATAGATTATTATTTCCATATCTTACATCGTCCTCCGTTGCCCCTTACCCATTTTTCTGCAACACAGGGAATCCAGGATAGATAAACCCCTTAGGGCCAACAATGAGAGTAGAGATACCAGTAGAATTAGGGGTGAGGGCAGAAAGGGGTAATCGACCACAAGAATCAATCTAGAACCCTGGGGGACGAATGACATTACCTTTCTTGATCAGCAAACATCATGAAGAGATCACTGAAGAAATGGGTGATATAGGGAAGTGTAGTGAAGAAACCAGATGGTGTCCATTTATCAGAAAAAATAATGTCTGGAGTCTTAAAGGCTTGTTTCCAACAAGCAGCCATCTAAGGGAACATCACCTAAGTTCACATGGAAGAAGCGCAGCACCATATATGGTCCAAAGATTATAAATAAAATCTAAATCTAAAGGAGGAAATGGCATCTGAGTTTAAATGTAAGTGCCCAATTTGCAGAAGCTTATGGATGGCAGTAGAAGCTCCAATTCCATTTGGAGGATCCACACATGGATTTAGCCTCTGAGAGTGAATCCTCTCTGATCATCGTTAAGAGATGTAAATAGCCCTGCTACCATACGGAGAGCATTATAAAGTTGATTATGGCTGATGTAGTTAGGTCAAAATGTTATATGATTTGGTCTTCATTTTGACCCATTTTAAACCTGTTTCAGTTTTTAAAAAAATAATAAATGGACAACAGAAAAGTAGGTGAAGGGAGACATCAGACAGTGTAAGATATGACAAAATAATAATCTATAAATTATTAAGGGTCCGTAAGTGGCGGGGAGTGGGGAGGGAGGGGGGAAAATGAGGAGCTGATGCCAGGAGCTTAAATGGAGAGCAAATGTTTTGAGAATGATGAGGGCAATGAATGTACAAATGTGCTTAACACAATTAATGTATGTATGGATTGTGATAAGAGTTGTATGAGCCCCTAATAAAATGATTTTTTTAAAAATAAGAGTGGATGCAAAGTACACATGAATTAAGCCCTTGGGGTATCCCCTCGGAACATGCATCAGGGATGTGCACACCCGTGCTAACATGCGTACATGCAGTTAGGTTAAAATTTAGTACGCTGTCATTTGATCTCCCTTATGAGTCATTTTCATTGTTCTAGTTTTTAATATTTTCTACTTTTCTATGGAGGTTTTTATATGTTTTACCTTGTTGTTCTTGTTAGTTTTGTTTGTTTGCTTGCTCTTTAATGTTTTCCTGAATATGAGATCCACTAAAGGTAAATCTATAGAGAAAGTAACTCCATTAATGGTTCCTTAGGGATATGGCCGAGGAGATTGGAGTGAAATGGGGAGCTAATAACAATGAGTACAAGAATGAAGAAATTGTTCTCAAATTGATTGTGATTGTACAACGCTTCTTCATGTGATTGACTATTGAATTGTGTGATATGTGACTTATATGCCAGTGAAACTGTTGCAGGAAAAAAAATGTTAACAGGCAAAAGTTTAAAACCTGAAGAAAAAAAACAAAAGAAAGAAATGGCACTGGGACAATGGCTCACTTTCTCTTCTCGAGGAAGAGAACCACCATCATCATCAAACCTGCATTCAAGCTCCAGTTTTTATTTTTTTATTTCTGCCAGTTATGACCGCAGCTGTCCTTTCCGTGGCACCCTGATTTCTGCTGGAGCCCATAACTTATTGCATCTGCCACAGAGTACTCACAGAGATTACTCCCAACTAACTGTGTTTTTAGGGAAGTTACATTTCAGGTTCAACAATACGCAGTATATAATTAATCAGTCGGGATAGACTTAGTTCAGCTGTGCCCTGAGGCATGCCCAAGCCCTGCAATCGCTGGCCCTTTGCCCTGGTCGGGCAAATGTGACAAAGCTTTTTCAGGTCTGATGACAAATGTCCTGAGCCCCACCCCACTCTACTGGTAAGCCATAACCGGAGGGCCTCTGCTTTCTTTCTCCTTCGGTCAAGAAGCCCACCACGGTCCTTTGTGCTCATTCTGCTGCCAGTCGTTTCTCTGTCCCTGTTACTTACCATCTCTTATCACTCTCATGACTTAGCTCCATGTCATCTGAGCAGAGCAGGTTCCGAACAGGGATCTGAGGTACAAAGGATGTGTTGCACTGCTGGTACTTCTTTTTTGATGGTCATGAAATCCAGCTCCCCACTACTGACAAAACTAACCTCCTCATTCAGGCTCCATATACTGTTTTTGTATTCTCTCTCCCCACTAGTGTGCTATGTACCTTATTTACATTAAGATACTATCCAATCCCAATCCCCTTTGGGACCACAAGCACCTACTATGTCGAGGGTGTCAACAACTTTAACTAGAAAGGACATATGAAGGTAATTCATATTTTAAATATGAACTATAAGTCCATGAATTAATCTTATGGGATCTTAGCTCTACTTATTTCATAGTTGTGAATTTTTTCATTGTTAAAGTATTCAATGGCCAGTTTGAATTTTTATGTCAGCTTTAAGATTACTTTTGTGGATAATTTCTCTTAAGCTCATCTAAATAAGTTGGGTCATGATTCTAAAATAAGTTTCTAGGTATTAGTGATAACCTAGATAGGGTCAGGAAACTTTTGGGATGGGAGAGCTAATCCTGTCCCTCACAACAATTTAAAAATTATCTGAGAACCCTAGCTATATATTTTACAAACAAATTAAATCTCCATTATCTAAATAATATACTTTAATTTTTTTCAATTTTACTTCAGAGCCACATATGCGTACTGAAAGAGCCACATATGGCTCCTGAGCCCTAGGTGCCAACCCCAGAGCTAGATTATGTTGAGATGACAACCTCAAAATCTCACAACAAATGTTTATATTTTTTTCACAGTACATATGAAGTGTAGTTCAATGATAGGCTGTCTCAGGCTTCACCATCTCTGTGGCTAAACCACCTGAAACATATTCTCATGAGTACAGCAGTCTTAGGGAGTGTTAAAGAGCCCAGTGGCAAAAATCAAATGCTTTCATCTGGAAATGATAAGTCACCAATACTCATATTTCATTGATTACAGCTACATTCTGATGAGCCATGGAATGCCTAACCTACTTTTCTAAAATATTTTTATTGTTGTTGTTTTAAAATAAGAATTGGACTCTACTATTTCATCTTTTTAATATTTTCTTTTCAGCTTTAATGGTGACTTAATTCCTGATATATTTGGTATTACAAATACATCCAGCCAACCACAGGTTCTACTTGGAGGGTGAGTACGTGGAGTTATACCATGTAATTAATTTTATGTGTTACTGTTAGTGAGATTATGTGTGTGGTGGTGGGGGGGGGGGTGAAGTAATGTTTTAAACATAGAGAGGACAGCTCATTTGAAATCCAGCTTTAAAATTTTGATCTACAGCTGCCTTCTTTGTAGATCCAGATTAATCCATTCATAGAAAATAGAGATACAAACTTTACAGGTCTTTCTTTAAAGAGTGATTCATTAGAAAAGATTTCATTCAAATCAGATAAATCTGTGATTGCCTCGATTGGATCTTTCACCGTAGGCATGTTAGCTTCCAGACATTGTTCACTAATGTGTTCATTGAGCAATCCGTCTTTATTGTTGTTAAGTGACATGGATTCGGTTCTGACCCAGAGCAACCCTGTACACTACAGAAGGAAACACTGCCCGGTCCTGCACCATCTTCATATTTATTTCTATGCTTGAGTTCATTGTTGCAGCCACTGTGTCAATCCATCTCTTGTGGACCTTCCTTATTTTCACTGTCCATCCACTTTACTAAACCAGATGTCCTTCTCCAGGGATTGGTCTCTCCTGACAACATGTCCAAAGTGTGTAAGATGAAATCTTGCCATCCTTGACTCTAAGGAGCACTCTAGCCATACTTCTTCCAAGACAGTTCAGTTAATCCTTTTAGCGATCCAAGGTACTTTCAGTATTCTTCTTCAGTACCAAAATTCAAATGTATTGATTCTTCAATGGTCTTCCTTATTCAGTGTCAAATTTCACTTTTATATGAAGCAATGGAGATTACCATTGCTTGTGTCAGGTATACCTTAGTCCTCAAAGTAGCATCCTTGTTCTTCAATACTCTAAAGAGGTCTTGTGCAGCAGATTTACCAATGCAATATATCTTTTGATCTTTTGACTGCTTCTTCCCTGAGCAGTGATTATGGATCCAAGCCAGACAGTGATTGTCTGAAAATCATAAGCACTCATCTTCTAATTTCATTTTTTTAAAATCATTTTATTGGGGTTTCATACAACTCCCATCACAATCCATACATCCATCCATTGTGTCAAGCACATTTGTACATTTGTTGCCATCCATCATCATTTTCAAAACATTTTCTTTCTACTTGAGCCCTTGGTATCAGCTCCTCATTTCCCCCCCTCCCTTCCCCACCATCCCTTCCTCACAAGCCCATGATAATTTATAAATTATTATTTTTTCATGTCTTACACTGAACAATGTCTCCCTTCACCCTCTTTTCTGTTGTCTGTCCCCCAGGGAGGGGGTGATATGTAGATCATTGTTTGTTTCCCCTTTTCTCCCCCCCACCTTCCCGGTACCCTCCTGGTATCGTTACTCTCATTATTGCCATGAGGGGTTTATCTGCCCTGGATTCCCTGTGTTCCCATCTCTTATCTGTTCCAGTGTACATCCTCTGGTCTAGCCAGATTTGTAAGGTTGAAATGGGATTATGATAGTATGGGGAAGGAAGCATTAAAGAACTAGAGGAAACTTGTATGTTTCATCGGTGCTATATTGCACCCTGACCAGCTTGTCACCTTCCCGCAACCCTTCTGTAAGCGATGCCCATTTGCCTACAGATGGTCTTTGTGTCTCCACTCTGCACTCCCCTCATTCACAATGATAAGATTTTTTGTTCTTTGATGCCTGTTACCTGATCATATAGACACCTCATGATCACACAAGCTGGTGTGCTTCTTCCAGGTGGACTTTGTTGCTTCTAAGCTAGGTGGCCGCTTGTTTATCTTCAAGCCTTTAAGACCCCAGATGCTGTATCTTTTGATAGTCAGGCACCATCAGCTTTCCTCAACAAATTTGCTTATGCACCTACTTTGTCTTTAGCGATTCTGTTGGGAAGGTGAGCGTCAGGGAATGCCAGGTTAATAGAACAAAATGATCTTGCGTTGAGGGAGTACTTGAGTAGAGGCCCAATGTCCATCTGCTACCTTAATACTAAACCTATAAATATATATATATATATATATATATATATATATATAGAGAGAGAGAGAGAGAGAGAGAGATCAGTTTACCCTTCATCATATATAAATATATTTATGTACGTACACGCTGGTATTCAGACCTCTATAAATGCCCTTTGCCTCCTATTTCTTTCCTCTATTTCCTTTATTTTCCTCTTGTCCTGCTATCATGTTCAGCCTTCATTTAGGTTTCAGTAATTCCTCTCGGTTACATTGCCCTTGATCAAGCCTTACCAGGCCTCCTAACCCCTCCTTGACATCGATTTTAGATCACTTGTTGTTCCCTTGTCCCTGGGTTTTTTAACACCCACTTCCTTTCCCCCGCCACTCCCTCTCCATGTCCCCCGGAACCATCAGTCCAGTTGTTTTCTCCTCCAGATTGCTTATTCCGCCTATCTCATCTAGACAGACTTGTAGAGATAATAATATGCACAAAGACAACACAGAGCACCACAAAGCAACAAAAGAAAACAAAACAACAACAACGAGAAGCCTATAAATAGTTCAAGATCTATTTGTTGACCTTTAGGATTGTTTTCTGGTCAAGTCTGATGGAGTGCCATGCCATGGTTCCAAAGTCTATTTCTGATATTCCCTGGGGACTTCATTGCTCTGCTCCCCTTCCTGTTCTGTTGCACACCCATAGTATTTCATCTAGGTGTGGTGGGGTCAGATCGGGCGCGATTCCCATACTGTGTCTCCAGTGTTGTCCACTCGTTTTCTAATTTCTAAAAATTTCCACATCAGTCTTAATACTTTGACCTGGATTTAAATTAAAAAGTACTTTACACAAGAATTCATGAGACCAAGGTACTATTTATAAGATATTTTCAACTTTTGGTTAATTTTTCTATATCTTAAAAGAAAATTTTAATTTTAAACTACAGAACATTTTATATAATAGCTGACTTTCCAGGTAATACAGAGATCCATTTGTCAACTTGTTATGCCCTAGTACTTGGAAATCTAATGACTTTTTCTTCCGTATTTTGGGAAAGTAGTGTCTATCATTAGTTATTGAAATGTGACTCATAGGCACAAAGATGAGTAAACTGTCAAAATTTAAAGTATTTTTGAGGAAGAACTGCCACCTTTCCTATCACTTTTTCTGAAAAATTTGAATAAAGAATATGAGAGTTCTGATGCTAGTCATAGTGAACTTTGAGAGACTTCTTGTGAATCTTGAATGAGAAACCTTGTTTCTTCCCCTTAAAATATCTGGAAGAAAGCCTTTCTTTAGAGACCAGTTGAATAGAGAACCAGAATTCCTCTGGGGTCATGTTTGTAGGAACTGAGTATGAATGAGATGGGGATAGGGTGTCCAAGCTACGCGACCTTCACAGGCCTACAATTTTGCCTTGGCTTACAACTGCTTAAGAAATTATTTCTTTTTCCTATCCTCTTCAAAAGCAGATCATGATTGAGAATGATGTGTCTTTTGTCTTGATTTATTTCATGATAGCTTCAAAATATATGGAATGTTATATAGTTTGATTTTTAGATATTAAAGCTTTCAGAACACCATTTGTTGACACTTCAAAAACCTCTAACATCTTTATGGATTTTCTACAAAAACTAGTAGGAATTTCATATTATATCTTCATAGTTTATTCATTTTGTTCTGAATTTGTGTTAGAATTTTTATCTAATGACTCTGATGTCTTAAGTACATATTCTTTCTACAATAACAGTAGCATTTTATGATGTTACAGATTAACCAGTAGTCATTAACCATGCTCAAAGTGTGAATTTTAAATCCAAGATTTTTCTTGATGCCACTATAGTGCCGTTGATGCCGTTACATAAATTGGTATAAGAGAATCTATGCCAATAACATTAATGTTACTATATTCTTAGCATTAAGCACCTGATTTAGAAAACTTTCTCTGAGAAAAACTTCCTCTGAGAATAAGCATTTATGTATTACTAAATGGAGGAAAATATATTAGGTCATATCACTTGCATAAACTGCCAACACACGCCTAGTGCATAAGTGAAAAAGCCATCAGCAGTGACATTTGGATCATTCACATGGGCAATCTAATTTTCCTTATCAAGCAGCCTAAACTAACCTGATTTATCAAGAGACTTAAGCTAGCTTTTGAAACTAAAAGATTGAGTTGTATGGGTATGTCAGACCCAATTTTATCCTTAATTAAATGTTAAGAACATTTTTACTTTATGGCAGGGGTATCAAACTCAATTAAAACGTGGGCCATTTGGTACAATAAGCAAGATTCACGTGGGCTACATCACATTTACAGATTTTGTTAAATTTATATTTTGAATTGAGGATTCAGGAATATGGATAGGATAATTAAAACACTATATAATTGCTTTCATTTAAACATTTATTTAGTGTATTTATAAAACTAAAACTATTCTTTTTTTACCCGAAACTTGCCAGCACTTTCCTCCTACTAGTTTTCACTACTTCTTATGTTGTGACCGGAAAATATAACAAAGTAACTAATAAAAAACACAAAATGTTGGACAGCAGACAAACGTGATGCACAATGAATGGCTTTCCTCTAAAAATGTTAGCTAGCACTGTCGCTAGGTATGATTCATAACAGCACAACCCAGAGTGCTCTTTTTTTACCTTTTCACTATTGGGATCTGTTTACATAACGTGACACTGAGAGTGACAGGCATATCACTTCCAAATGTCGCTGGAACTGAATCCGTGAGTTTATACATGTCCACAGGCCCCCAGGAAAGGCACTGGGCCACGTATATACTCGTCTTCAGTAGTTAAAGGGTTAACGACAGAATTGTATGTCTGGTATTGCCTCGATCTCCCTTAAGCGCTATTTTCTTCTTAACAATTTTTACTATTTTCATTTTATTTCAGAGCATCACGAGCCACAAAAAATTACCTCAGGGCTGCATGTGGCCCATGGGCCACCAGTTTGACACCCCTGCTTTATGAGAAACCTGCAGTGATAATAAATCCCATGCTAAGTACATCCATAGAATTATGCTGAAATATTCATGGTTGTAACCTT